AACTCACGACCTTGCGCTTGCCAGGCAGGCGCTTTTGCCGCTGAGCTAAATCCCCAGCCCCTGTTCAATATTTTCATCACCCTTCTGATTTTCCCCTCAGGAAGATCTTTTGAACCGTGCAGCTGTGCTTCCTCACTGTCCTGTATAAGTTATTTACTAGCTTTCAAGATGTTGGACCTAACTCTTAAGTTCTTGAGCTGTGTAACTCCCATCTACCTGCCTAGAGCTTCTTCTTTTGTCTTGGTGTCAGAAGTGTCAGCCACGCCAGCTGCCGTCTATCTTCTCTAAGACACCGTCCTCTTGTCTTAGAGCTTGCTGCCGTGTTAGGGTCACTGTCTGACTTTCGCCCCTACATAGCTTTACCCATTGCCTTTATTATTCTTGAAGACATGACTCGAATGTCAGGTGTCCTTTGTTTCCTCTGTAACTTAGATCTTCAATATCATGCTACCTGTTAATTCATAGGATTTCTCCAAGTAAAGCTTATCAGCATTAAAATATGCAGGCAGGGTCAAGCATCTAGTTTTGCTTCCTTGGCATATTTCTTGCTGTGTGGTAGAAAAACAATAAACATCTGCTAAGTAAGTTAATGCAGACTTTTCTATACTTATGACATAGAATAAATGAGATATTTCGTACTCTAAATGGATATAAATCTGCATGCACATTGTTTCAAAGTAAGGCTCACTGATTCCAGACAGTTGTCCATAATCGTGAACTATGATTGTTTTGATTTTTTCCGTATATTTGTTATTTATGTTTCTGTTGTTATCTCCAGACTTATTCACATTCTCATTCATGTACCGTTCCCCTCTAATTCGTTTTGGTAGCATAAGGGATTTATACTTCCCTCTCCCGCCGTTTCCAGGAAAGGGCGAAAGGTGGAAGTGTACACAGAAGCAGCCAAATGAGTATACATACAGTTTTAGGATTAGCTAATCATATTTCAGAACTCTAGATCCTTAGAGTAATTTTAACTTTGCCCCAAACAGTATTTAATTGTGATTTGTTATAAAACTACAAAAAGGGGACATTTTTGATGGTAGCTTTAAGAAGCTTAGTCAGTTACCTTTCGTTCCTTATGTTCAGTAGTAGCAAATGTACATGGAGAAACGTACAGATCAATCAGCTTAATTAAAACTAAAAAGCTTCCTAGCAGTTCCTATGGGATGTTACATGAGTGCCAGTACAAACTGAAGGGCGTGTGCACTGGTGTTGTGAGTTGTGGGGTGTGAGTGTGTGTACCCAGCAGCGGTGCATGTCCTCAGCAGAGCCTGTGCGCCTCTGTGAGAGGATCTGCTCACTGCAGCGCGTTCGTTCCTTTCCAGGCTTCATGCAGTTTATCCAGTCTGTCCCTGTGGCTGAAGTTCTTGATACAGAGGGAAGCATTCAGGTACAGTATCAATTTTACATGCCTACACACTTCACGCATAATTCTTCCCACCAGTACCTAGTTTTTATGAAGAATATATGGAGTTTTCTATCTGTAGAAGTAAACATTGTTCATAGTTGGAAATTCTCCCATGTTGCTATAATTCTTTAAACAGTGTGCATGGCACATAATTGAGGATCAAAAGTTAATTGATGAACAAATAATTCATTAAAATTCTAGGTTGCATTATATCTAAAGTGTAGAAATACTAAAATTTATTTAAACATTAATTGATCAACATTTTTATTATTTCCGATTTCTGTTATTCCAGACAGCGCTAAGGAACATTCTTGCCCGTGCATATTTTGCACAGTTGCACTCTTCTGACTGCAGGTTTTACCTGTTGGCTGTTGTAGTAGTGTGTCCCATCAGAAGGGACTCCTTAGACGCTGATGCATTTGTTGAATTCCTACCATTCTTTTGTTCAGCCAGCATCTGATTGTCTTGACTGTCTTTTGGACTAGACACTTTGTTGGTCATTACAATTTCAAAGTCATTCATTTGTTTTGGAATCTTAAATAGGTAAATAATGTCTTTTCAGAACTTTTTTAGAAAATACGCACCAAGTGAGAATGGGCCAAATGGAATAAGTGCTGAGGTCATGGACACTTACGTTAAAAGCTGTGGTAAGTTTTCCAGGCCACCATTTTCCAAGTATGTGTTCGAATAAAGAAAAGCTCACACGCCTGATACTCTGTATTCCCATGCACTTTAGAACATGTTAAGAGTCAAGTGTTCCATAAGAAAGAGAACACAGGATATAGAATGGTGGTAAAAGAAGTCATTGGTGTTTTACCATCATAGTCATGACAGGGTGTAAGTTCTTGTTTAGACCTTAGTGTTTCACCTATTTTATGATCACGAGTTATCTCTGCCTAGAAGCTGTCAACTTTCCCCTAGGTTTTCCTGTTCTTGAGCAGCCACAAGTAAGTAGACTCTGAAAAAGTCTCAGTGAGAAAGTAATTCTGCTTTAGTTAGAAAAACTAAATTGAACTAAGAGCACTGTGTTAAGAAAGCCTCTAGTGAATAGTACTTTGGTGTCAGTACTTACACTCCATTCCTGGAAGTAAGAAGGATCATATTGAGGGGGTTAATTTAGAGTCTTCTATCATTTATGCCTGTCTTCATGAATGTGTTAAGAATTTAAAAAAGTAAATTTCTAAGAAAGAATAAGAAGCCGACACTAGAATTAAACCCTGAGTAATATGTGGCATATAACAGTTAATACTTGTTTGACATCAATGTGATATTTAGGGTTATATCCATATTATGCTGCTACTTACACAAAATTAAGAGAACAAGGTAGACATTTAACAACTATATTGAAAGCTTCATATTATTTTATGGCTTAGAAATTGCTTCCTCCTATATAGTATTTTTTTTTCATTTTTCATATTTCTATGAGGTAGTATTTAAGATATTTTTGAACCTCATAGAACCTGAGTCAAATGAAGTTTAATATTTATTGAATTTGTATACGGTAACTTTGGTCATGAACATGTGGACCAGTCATTTCTATACATAAGCTAAAATAAACTTACTTTTGTAAATACTGTTTTACAATATGGGAGTTTATAAGAGCCACTACATAGTTTTATATGTTTGCAAGTTATAGTCTTGTCAATATTCTAATTGAGAAAAATAAATACAGTATGGGAAAATAAACTATAAAAAGTTGGTATTTGCTAAATTCTGTTTGTGTAGCTTAAATAATGGCTAGGGTTATAGGCTTTAGTTGAAAATGGTAAAAAACAGTTATCAGTGAGACTTCCCCAGCATTGACCCTGTGACTCTTCTCAGTACTTTAGAAGACCACGGCGTGAACTTAATACATGAGTGCCTTTACTGTTGAAGAGAGTGCGTTCAGTGTTCTGTCTGGTGGCATGTCAAGATTGTCTTTGTACAAACTATTTTTTAAAAACCTTTCATTTACTTTTGTTATTTTGTAGGTTACACAGTTAAAGGTTTTGGGATTATTGACAGTTCATTGTATATTTCTGTAAATAATTTTTCTTTGATGTCATATTTCACATATATTCAGTCTAAAATGAGAAATACTAGACACATGTTATAATTAAGGTTCCTGAAAGCTACCTTAACTTTTGATACAGTTAATCTTTATAATTTGACAAAATTGAATGATACTTTTTTTTGGTAGCAAATAGTAATTCTTTCTGGAGTTTCAAATAATAGCATTTTAATAGATCTAATGAAGATTACAGATTTGAGAGTTTAGGTGAGAGGTCAGATAAAAGCAAGTTTAAATTAAAGTAACACAGATAGCTTTGAGACTCAGTGGGATATTTCATCTGGTTTGCATTTTTTCCCATTTCTGCAGCTGGGTATTGTGTGATCACTTATATACTCGGAGTTGGAGACAGACATCTGGATAATCTTTTGCTAACAAAAACAGGTAAGAAATAATGGCTATCAGCGGACATAATTTATATGCCAGTGATTTTAATCTACAATCCACTTAATGGAATAAGTTGAGTAAATGAAGATAAAGCACAGCATCTTTTAAAAGTCCTTCAGGGGGTATTGTGGAAGAGCATTTAGGGACACTCTCAGCCCTTGTAAGAATCACATTAGTAATACAGTAACCCGCAGATGGTTACCTGGACCAGCAGTAGCGAACATGCGCACATGCGCTGCCCTGGGCATGCAGAGGCTTCTCTGTGAGCACACAAGCCAAGTCGCCTCAGCAGCCGAGCACTGGGTATTCTGCTTTAATTACAAGATTGGCACTTGCGGTAAATAAGTGGGTTTTGGGTTGAGTTTAGGCACTCAGTCTCTTAAAGGTTTGCCATTACTGCCCTAGACCTTGCTTCTGTACTTGCAGTGTATGTTTGCGTGGAAAGCCCATGTTGTGTGCAAGCAGTCGATTCTCTTACTGTGCAGATCAAGTTAAAATGCTGTTTCTCTTACCAAAATGTGCGTAATTCACTTTGAACTCTGTCTCTGGTTATTTGCTTTTCCTCTTGGAGTTCCATCACTCTTACAGCTTCCTTCTTGCTGAGAACTCTTTAGCCTTGTATCTTTTGACATGATATCTGCAAACAACTTCTAAACTTGAAGCTTTGTGTTAATCCATTGTGTTAACTTCCAATTGAATTATCCAGTTGCATACCTGAAATAGTAACTGTATATGGCCAGTTATAAAAGCTTCCCTTTTCCCCGCTACCTCTCTAAAACCTGTTCCTTTCCTCCTTTTTCCATCCCAGTGAATAGCAGTATCATCCACTGGGTTGTTCAAACTATAGACCTAGAAGTGAACCTAATATCTCTCAATCTCATCTCACATATCAAGCCTATTAGAAAAACTTACCTACTTTTCACCTCAAGAAAAGCTCACGCATTTGCCCACCATCTGCTTTTCTGCTGCGTCCAGCACAGCTTTTGAAACTCCCCTGGGGTGGTGGGGGTGGGGACTGAAGGCAGGAAGACACAAGGCAGAAAGCAGAAAGCTGAGGTCAGGTGGAGCCCTCCTGAAGGGAGAAAAGGAACTGCCCAGCGACTGCAGTGTGTTTATTTATACAATCAGCAAGAGGTTCATAACAGGTGAAACACCTCTCCTAATGGGAGGAAAGGACCTGCCTAACAGTTGTCTGGCTGCCTTCAGGCTCTCTGTGTTCTCAGGCTGGCCTTGCTTTAGCGCTGCATGTGTGATCAATCTCTATCTCAGCTGCTCTACCCTCTTTGAAGCCACCAGCATATTTTGCCCAAACAATATAAATAAAACATAGATTCTTTATTATGAGTCTGTGGCTTGTCCACTCCAGTCTTCTGTTTGAACGTTACACTACTGGCTCAGGGCAAGTGCCCTTGTTTTCTCTTTCTGTAAAGTTCTTTTCTCAGATGTTCACAAGGCTGATTGTTAGTTATTGAATTCTAATAGTATTTCCTTAGGGAAGCCCTCAGCTCTCCAGTTGAAATAACATGTATATCTGTCTTCCTTTATTCTCATTTCTACGTTTTCTTTGTAATATTTACCATTAACTGAAAGTACAATACCTTTTTATAATTTTTCAAAATCCAAAGAAAAATGTGTTATATTACCTGAAAAATTAATACAGTAATTATATTACTGAGTAATTACTGAACAAATATTTACTGAACATGTACTAGGTGCTGGGGAGATACCAACCAGGACAGAAGTCCTCCCACCACTGAGTGTGACTGTCATCCTTTCCCCCTCAGGGTGTAGGCTCTTACCCTTCCAGGTTATTCCTGTGCCTGCAGAGCCTTGAGGAACACTATGATAAAGTGCTCAGTAAAGCACTGTTGAATTAAGAATGAATAAATATTTCTGAGCTTCTGCATTGCTATTTCTTCCTTGTGCTAAGGAAGTAATCCAGGTTTTTTCAGACTTCTGCAGAAATAGCTTTTCTAAGTACAACTTTAACGTGATATCTCAGCCAGGTGTGGTGGTGCACACCTGTAATCCCAGCATCTGGGAGGCCAAGGCAGGAAGATCACCATGAGTTTGAAGGCAGGAAGATTACCGTGAATTTGAGGCAGCCTGAGCTACATAGAGAGACCCTGTCTCAAAAAACAAAACAAACAAAAAAATTAAATTGATATCTCCTATAAGGACTTTTTGGTATTCCAAATTATGATAGCCAGAATTTAATATAATAATTAAATGTAGTCTAGTTGTTAATATAATTACTGTATTAATTTTTCAGGTAATATAACATGTTTTTCTTGGAATTTTGAAAAATGTTCTCAGGTCTGTGTGTTGATAGGAGTATTTTAAGAGTGGATTTGGAAAAAGCAGTTTACTTAATATGCTCTTTTGGCTTAGTTCCCAATTGTATTATGAACATTAAAATTTCAGAAACAAAAACTTTAATCTTACCAATTTTAAAGGTGTTTCACATCTGTCTCTAAAAGTCAGAATCCTTAAAATGTTCTAGGTAAGAAGCACATCCCTTTTCTTTTAAAACAGCAATTCAACAGAACAAACTAAAACAGTTCTTGTTTTTACTTGCCTGCTTGTTCCCTGAATTATTTCACTCAGGTGTGTTGTGCAGTTAGAATTTTAAGTCTTCATTACTAGGAAATAAGCTCTCAGATTCTTAGTTTAGTTTAAAGAAATTAGATTACAGAAGACAAGGTGGGTCATGTCAAGATGGAATATAAGTGTAATCCACTCATCTACTTCTGACCACTTACAATAATTTAAAATTTTTTGTGTTTAGGCCTCTTATACAGCAAATCCATGTTTCAGAGCAGTTTCACATTACATTAATTGTACATATGTTATAAACAGATGTCATATAACTTACCTAAAGTGAATTTTGATTCTGGCTATTTATAGGAGGATATTTCAATGCTTTTACTTAAAAATACCTGAGATATTTTGATCTTTCATTTTGCATCCATGTGCTGTTAATACCGATTGCATACAATATTAAAAATTGTAAACTTCGGATTGTCTTAGGCAACTGTCCAATCTTTCAACAACCGGTGGGACATTTTTCAACTATATCAAGTGACATGACATGTCTTCCATCCTTCAAAATAAAATATCTTTGTCTTCTGCTCTCATTTGCCATCCAGGGAAGGTTAAGAGAGTGGCTCTATTGCACAGTGTAGAGAATAGTAATTAAGAGCCACACTGCCTCGTTTGTGCCCTTTCCCTAGTAGGAGAGATGGCTCAGACGAAGGAGACGCCCAGATTTCATTTCACCAGTGTCATTTGGGGCCTTGCCCTTGTCAAACTGTTCTCCCCTGTGAATACAGATGAGACAGAAGGGATGCAACTAAGAATTGTAGGCACATGTGAAAGAAAATTCTTAACTGAATAGAAAATTTCAACATCAATTCAAAGGTTGTGTCCTAAAATAGAAGGTATGAGGCTGGGTCTCATGTTTCCCAGGAGTTTCTTTTGCCCCAGTTTGTGTGGACTTGGGTGCTTCAGGCTAGTGGAAGTTTTCTCGTCTTGTGCAGCAGAGGGCACTGTGCATCCACCTGAAAGTTGAAGCGTGGCAGCCTCACCGTCAGTGAGTTGCAGAGGTCAGTCAGACGCGGTTTTCTTGAAGATCTGGAGGGGATGATGTCTTACTTTTTAAGGCATTGTGATGGTATTCTTTGGACAAGAAGTTAACAGATTTAAACTCGTGAGGAACTGGACAATGACTTTTTTCCTTTGGAGTTGATGTCCATAGAAGAAGCCTTAAGAAGTTTATTCAGGGTAATCAGTTGTAGTAGTTGGTTTGAATTTATCACTTTTTTTTGAGAAATGATTTTTTTGAGGATTTGAGGGGGATAAAGGCCAGGATAACTGAAAAAATTTATTTATTGTTCATGGTGTACAGATTTTACAATTGAATTAAAATCTGAATAATTTTTAAAAACATTCACAACTGGGCTGGGGATTTCGCTCCGTGGCACAGTGCCTGCCTGGGAAGTGCAAGGTCGTGAGTTCGATTCCCAGTACCAGAAAAAAAAACAAAAACACTCACAACTGAAAACGGAGTTAAGTATCTTTTTTAAGAAGAAATAATCAGTTGTAAATCCTAAGATTGCCTCTTTAATCTTAGTTATCTTTTTCAGAGAGGAATAATGCCTTTCTGTCTCTCTTGGCACTCCAGAGAAAGATGTTTTAAGTATTTTATTAGAAGGCTCAAGGTAAAGAAAAACACTCAGTGCTATCCTAATAGGACATTTTTCTCTAAGCACCTTCTATCCTGTTTTTTTGTCATTCTTTAATATTATGTGACACTGATGGACTTTTTTAATTCTGAAGAACAATTCCACATCACAGTTTATGTATGAAGCTTACTTTTGGGTAATTTTGGGTACCTTATGTCATATATGTCATCTTTTCTAAATATATAAGTAATTCTAAACCTTCCAGTAGCGTTTTAAAAATGAATAAGTAAGTTGTTTTTCATGTCATTTTTATGCACCCATAGGGTTTCCGGGAAAATGTTTCATGTTAAAAATGTAGTTTACCCGTGGACATGCTGTTTCCATATGGGTCCATTGTCCATCATCATATATACATTAAAAGAGCCCCCTGTGCGTTCCCTTTCTATCCACAAGTACTTTTTAGTCTTTGCTAATTATTCCTTTAAGGTTTAGCAATTAGGACATGTGTTTATATGCATCATTTTCCTCGAGACATTATTTTAAATCTTTGATCTATCGAGCATTACTTGAAGGTTAAATGTTAAGAGAGTTAGTTGTACATTGACTAAGACCTATCATGAGAAAGATGTCAGTGGTTGATGTAAAGGTGCTTTTTTAAAAAGTTTGTGGTGAAAGGCCATGGTTTCTTTTCATGTGAAGCAGTAAAAAATGATAAGTCACTATACTTTGCACGCCTGTGAGCTGGAAATCACCTTAAGAGAAAATAACCTAGACTGCGTTATGAAAGAAGGATTGGACTTGTATGGAATACAA